TGGGTGCCTGGAAGTGGTCTGGGTGCCTGGTCCAGCTAGGGTTAACCCATTTTTTTTATAAACATAGCAGTTTCAGAGAAACTGCTATGTTTATAAATGGGTTAAGCCTTCCTCCAAAGCCTCTAGCGGCTGTCTCATTGACAGCCGCTAGAGGCGCTTGCGTGATTCTCACTGTGAAAATCACAGTGAGAGCACGCAAGCGTCCATAGGAAAGCATTATAAATGCTTCCTGTGCGACCGGCTGAATGTGCGCGCAGCTCTTGCCGCGCGTGCGCATTCAGCCGAATGGGTGGAGAGGAGGAGGATCGGAAGAGGAGAGCTCCCCGCCCAGCACTGGAAAAAGGTAAGATTTAACCCCTTTCGCCTTTCCAGAGCCGGGCGAGAGGGGGACCCTGAGGGTGGGGGCACCCTCAGGGCACTATAGTGCCAGGAAAATGAATATGTTTTCCTGGCACTATAGAGGTCCTTTAAAGAAATGGCTTTGGTGCTTACATTCCTCCAGGAGTTAAATAACACTGTCACACCTCCCCTGCCTCTGACTTACACTGTCTTCTCACACACTTCCTATAAACAGAGAACTAATTTGTATGCTTCCGTTATTGCTCTGTGAGTTTAATGCAGAATTTTTTTATATCCTGCTTTGTTAATAGCCTGATAGAACTTGCAGGAAATAAGAACTCATAATGTAAACACACTGTGCATTAGGATCTGATTAAAAATTAAACCATATTTTTCATTTTTGTTGTGTGAGCCAAAGCCAGGGGAGGTGTAGCTATGGTTACATAACCAGAAAAAAAAAAGTGATTTAGCTCCTAACTGGAACTGAAACACATCCACTAAAACTGCTTCATTGTGCTAAAGATGTTTTGGTGCTTAGAGTGTCCCTATAATGGACATATATATTTTCAGAAAGCATGTTTTGCACAGTTTTCACCCCATATAACTGCTTCTAATACATATTAATGATATAAAAATAAAGAACTGCATTCCAATTACTTTTTATGCATATTCCCCTTTAGCACACAAACTGTACTAGCTAAGGAAAGCAATATCTTTTATATCTTTCTCATAAAACAAGATTTGTATTTCTCTATAGCAAATATGGATTTTATTAATTGAATGTAATCTTTTTAATGTCAAACATCTTAGTACAGGTAATGCTTAAATTAAATGCTGTATGGGTGAAAAGTAATTTAAATATTAAATATTTGAAAAATAAAAGAACTCAGAATAAATTCCTCGATTCACCATGCATTGTTCCCAATATATTTTGTGTAGAACAATTTATGAAACATGTTTTTATATTTATTTGTGAATTTTAGTGAATTAAGCTTGAATTATTTTATTTAAACGTTACAATTTGATTTTAAATTCGCTACCTGTTGTTGTTTATTGAATAAACCCCAATTTATTTTAAAATATATCATATGACAGAAAAGTTCAAAAGTTAGATCTCCAGTTACTTTATAGCTTCAATTCCCAGGGGTGAGCTAATACCGGTGCACCAGGTGCCATACAACATGGTATCATATCGTATAGGGCAACAAACTACTAGCCACTTTCATGAGCAAGTCCAGTGATGTCTCCATTGAAAATATATATATTTTTAACCATTCAGTAGATATGCCCATAAAAGGAACCATGCATGTATTTTGTATTGCATGTTTTCTTTGTGCATGTACGAAAAATAGCTTGCAATATCTGCAGATCTATTGTCTGCAGCTACAGCAGACAGTTGCGGCTTTTCATTTATAGATTTCTCAATGAGCTGTTCTACATGATCAGTGAGTTGGGTTACATTGCCTGCTCTCCAATCATGCCTGGCCTTTGGAGCTGTAGGAATCAGAAGAAAATCTCAGCCTCTGTCTGACTGTCAGCTAGGGAGGTGTTTGCTTTGATTTAGACTGTAAGCTCGTTTGAGCAGGGCCCTCATGTACCTATTGTTCCTGTGTCACTGTGTAACTGTCTCATTTATTGTAAATCCCCCCCCCACTAAGCTTTCATAATATTGTAAAGCGCTGCGGAGTTAGTTGACGCTATCTAAATACCAATAATAATAATAATTTATAAATCATCACTTTTTTTATAAAATGAAAAATAAAGACACATTTTACACACGTAAAGCACTTCAGCTTGCATTACATATACCTTAACCTGCACAAATGACACGGAAGGCTTTCTTCATGGAACACTCAACTACTGAATTGAAAACTGAATTGCAAAATCTAGGCAAATGTAGCCAGTTTCTCTAAATCTGAACTTTCTGCCTACATTTAACAAAACAGAATTCAGTTCAGTACAAGTTGGCAGTTGTTAGTGAATCTCTACACATTACACATACAAATGCAGGAGAGGAGGAATAACCATAAGGTTTAACCATAAGTGTAGGGCACGGAGTTAAGACAGAAGTCTTGGAACCCTGACTTTACCTCGTCCCGTTCGTCATTCCTATATGAAGAGTGAAGAGGTGGCACCAAAATTGTAGCCTGTCTGCCTAAAGTCTGTGGTATCGTAATTCTTCTCTAACTTGCTGTCACAGACAAGGGAAAATGACAGAGACATGTTAATGAGGAGTTTAGTTTTGTTTGTGAAGATCTTCCTGAACATTATGGAAAACATAGCCAAATAGGCCATTCTTTATTTTGCTGGTTTAGCATAATGAGAATGTGGTCCTCAAATATTTGCTGTGCTTCAACTAATCATCATTAGTAGCGACGCCTTCCTAGATGCCTGTGGATCACACTTCTTATGCCAATCACCCAGCAGTGGAAAAGTGATGGAGCAGGTACATGGAGAAGACTTAAAACAAATGTGTGTGTAAGGGAAGTGGGTAATTTAGTCACCCCTACATGCATAGCATATAAATATTGCACCCAGTCACTGACCCTTGATTCGTCCCTGGTAATTTCCATAAGGCTGACAAAGCCCCCACGAGAACCATACTAGTTCTGCAGCAGCTGTGAATCTACCTTTTGATCTTTTTTGCTATAGAATACATCTAAAGTTAAGATCCATAAACAGAAATCTTAGTGAGATTAGCAACCTCTGCTGTCAGCGGCACTGAGAGATGTTGTAGAGTATATGATGTACGATATGCACATAAAATGCACCCATGCATTAATCACAAGAGCCCTGTAAAGAGACTGAAAACTGTTTTTGTCAATATATAAGATCTAATACATCAAGGAGCTTTTACAGAAACACTGCATAGCAGATCACTTATATTAAATTGATGTGGTTTAATCATAGTATTTGACAGGTACATAGGAGTCAACTGTACTAAAATGCGTATCCTGGGCCTTCATTACATCTCTGCCCATACGCTTTGACTAACTTTAACGGCATGATACATGTGTTACTAAATTCATCAATCTAACATTCATTTGCTCTTACATGCACTTTTGTTGTGATAAACTATTAATTCTCCATAAATGAAATTTATGTAAGTTTCAGGACTAAAAAGCTGTGCACAGCAACCAGACTAAAATGAGTACTACATTATTTTCAGTCAACTGAGTCAGGAAGCAGCCATTTTGATTTGTAGGGTCATGACACAAAACTTGTTAGAATAGTTTCATAGCACGTACTTTATGCTGTTACTTTTGTATTATTAGTTTTCAGAATTTTGGGAGATGAAAAAAAAAAGTTTCTATCACTGTTCATTACTGCATTTTTTTGTTTTGTTTTGAGTTTTTGGGCTGATGAATACTAGAGCCATTGCTGCTGCCGAGTAGTGGGAATTTGAGCTAAGAGTATTTCTGTGTGTATTTTTCTTAACCTTGTAGCTTTTTGTACAGTACTGTTTCAGCCTGCAGGCTGATAACTATACTTTACATACTATACCTGAGTCATATAAAATGGACCTTTTCCCCTCGTTCTATTTTCCTATTTATCACTGTTCATATATCACTTCACTTTTTGCAGAAATATTTATTTATTTGTATTTTCTTATTTTTTTCTATAAAGATTATGTTTTATTATGAAGACAGTTTTTTTTTTATGTTCCGATCCCTTTTTGGGACTTCTTTTTGTAAATAAAAGTTTTATAGGTTTGTGACGACCGGTTTATTGGTAAAAAAAAATCTATATCTTCACGGTCTTCATTCTTTTATTTATTATTGTAAATATATTGTTATTTTGTTTTTGTTTTTTTTTGTTTTTAGAGAATGGATATGGGAGAGGAATTTCTTATGCCTCAAGAAAAATCTACACCCATAATGGAGATTCTGTTAACAAATTTTATTCACCATCGAAAACAGAAACCGCCAAGATGTACGCTGTGGATACTAGGGTTTAAAACAACACCCAGGACTGTTATCACTTAAGCAGTTCATCTCCCTGAATGTACTTCATTTATAGTTCTCTCGCCCTAGAATTTCTTGTAAAATAGATGAGTTATATGAAGTATATAGGATGTAAAACCTGTTGCACAGATAGGTATTAACAGATTCATGTACAATGTTCATTGCAGATGTGTGCTGTTTGTTGAATTGCTTCTAATCCATTTTGTAGATATTGAAATAATGTATTTGCAATATTGATATGATTTGCTTACATAATTCGTGTATGTGTGATATTATTTGATCATGCTAAACTCTGTCTTTGCTTTGTTCTGTTTGAACCAATGTTTTATAATTTTATATAAAAAATATATACACCAGGACTTTTAATGAAGGATTTGATCTGAATTTCATCTGTACAAATTATGCAAAAGGATTACACATACTTCAGGTACTGTACTCCAAACTTAAAAAAAAAGTCTAAATTATAAAATTAAAAAACAATCAACCAAAATGGATATAAAAACATTTATATACATATAAATGTAACAAAAAGCTAGTAGCCCTAACAAAGTTTAAAATGTAGAAAATCTCCGTTTTCTTCCATCTTAAAAAGTTTCACATAACAGTGTGGTAAAAAATTTCGGTCAACATTACAGTCCCAGCTTGGGACATTCCTCAGGACCCAAGGAAGGTCCCAAGCCAGGACTGAAACTTTGACCAACATTTTTTACCGCACTATTATGCAAAACTCTTTAAGATGGGAAAATAAAAGACATTTTCTACTTTTTAATGTCAGTAAGTGCTACCAACTTTTTGCTACATTTATATATTTACAGCCCGGCCAATTTATAGTGGTTATAGTTAGTGATGTCCCGAACTGTTCGCCGAATGGTTCGCCACGAACGGTTCACGAACGGTTCGCCACGAACGGTTCGCCGCGGACTCATCATTGAGTAAACTTTGACCCTGTACCTCACAGTCAGCAGACACATTCCAGCCAATCAGCAACAGACCCTCCCTCCCAGACCCTCCCACCTCCTGGACAGCTCACCAAGAATGCAGCTTCACAATGGATGCTGTCCAGGAGGTGGGAGGGTCTGGGAGGGAGGCTCTGCTGCTGATTTGATGGAATATGTCTGCTGACTGTGAGGTACAGGGTCAAAGTTTACTCAATGATGAGTCCGTGGCGAACTGTTCGTGGCGAACTGTTCGTGGCGAACAGTTCGGCGAATAGTTCGGGACATCACTAGTTATAGTGCATGGACTTCTACCAATACTATATATATGCAAACCTGATGAATGTTTTGCTGATGAAACTTAAACGTCAATAATTTTACTTGAGAAAATAAAAGCTGTGTTTTAAAGAACTGAGAGTGCTTTCTATACTCTGGATATATGGATCTGGTTATTTATTATTATTATCGCCATTTATATATCGCCAACAGATTCCGTAGCACTTTACAATATTATGAGAGGAGGGATTTAACTATAAATAGGACAATTACAAGAAAACTTACAGGAACAATAGGTTGAAGAGGACCTTGCTCAAATGAGCTTACAGTCTATAGGAGGTGAGGTATAAAACACATTAGGGTGCTGCCCTTTAGGAGAGAGCAAGAGACAGGTATGTAAGGTAGACTAGAGAGGAAAATCAGTCTGGCAGCAGCATTCATTACAGACCGTAGCGGGGCAATACGGCTTTTAGGAAGACCAATCAGGAGAGGGTTACAATAATCCAGAGCTGATGAGTGTCTTCAAAAGAATAAATCTAAAAATGTCCACCTTTTATGCAAAATAGAAGATTTTGGACACTTATCACACACAATTGTGTCTGTGTTGATCATGAATTTGTCACTTTAGAGGAAGCTTCAGGGATATTGGGTTGCCTGCTGTTTAGCTACATATTGAAACCTAGAAATGAATAATTACATAGTTCGCCCAACTGCTATACAAATGGTGAGGGAAATGTTAAAAAGTATGATTGCACAAACACCCCTGGGTCTTTTAATAAACAATAATGAGCTAATGTTCAGTAGAGAAATAATGTAAAAACCAAATTGTGGTCCCTCAATCTATCTCTTTATTAACTTTTGTATGCCTTACACTGTGCCTCCTCTCCCCCCATTTCCTTCGTCAACTGCAGTGATGTAAGGGTTAATGTTTTAAGTTGGTGAAAATTAAACTGCCCACTAGCTCTTACAGCTCTTTCCTCTTGCCCACATCCCATGTTGTTTAATGAGGAGATAATTAAGGCAGGTTTCAACGATCCCAGATAACTGAGTGAATGAAGTAGGCAAATATGCTGTTTCCTATTTACAAACATCACATGTAGCACATTTGTACTGAACCAATCAACACTATTGGCTATGACAGCCCATTTGTTCACTTGAGCTTCAAGTTTTGATGAAGGGTGTTAGTCAGTAGGGAGATGTAAAGATCACAGCACTGTTTCACTAACCATAATATGATGACAGAAGAAGATGAAGTAGGTCCACAAATGTTTTAATACCTCCTGCTGTATGGGTTGTGTGAATAGAGGGTATTACACAGAACCTTTACGTGTTTAATTGTTCCTATGGACCTTTGTACACTGCTCAAAAAAATAAAGGGAACACTTAAACAACACAATCTAACTCCAAGTCAATCACACTACTGTGAAATCAAACTGTCCACTTAGGAAGCAACACTGAGTGACAATCATTTTCACATGCTGTTGTGCAAATGGGATAGACAACAGGTGGGAATTATAGGCAATTAGCAAGACACCCCCCAATAAAGGAGTGGTTCTGCAGGTTGTGACCACAGCCCACTTCTCAGTTCCTATGCTTCCTGGCTGATGTTTTGGTCACTTTTGAATGCTGGCAGTGCTTTCACTCTAGTGGTAGCATGAGATGAAGTCTACAACCCACACAAGTGGCTCAGGTAGTGCAGCTCATCCAGGATGGCACATCAATGCAAGCTGTGGCAAGAAGGTTTGCTGTGTCTGTCAGCGTAGTGTCCAGAGCAAGGAGGCGCTACCAGGAGACAGGCCAGTACATCAGGAGACGTGGAGGAGGCCGTAGGAGGGCAACAACCCAGCAGCAGGACCCCTACCTCCGCCTTTGTGCAAGGAGGAACAGGAGGAGCACTGCCAGAGCCCTGCAAAATGACCTCCAGCAGGCCACAAATGTACATGTGTCTGCTCAAACGGTCAGAAACAGACTCCATGAGGGTGGTATGAGGGCCCGACGTCCACAGGTGGGGGTTGTGCTTACAGCCCAACACCATGCAGGACGTTTGGCATTTGCCAGAGAACACCAAGACTGGCAAATTCGCCACTGGCGCCCTGTGCTCTTCACAGATGAAAGCAGGTTCACACTGAGCACATGTGACAGATGTGACAGAGTCTGGAGATGCCGTGGAGAATGTTCTGCTGCCTGCAACATCCTCCAGCATGACCGGTTTGGCAGTGGGTCAGTAATGGTGTGGGGTGGCATTTCTTTGGGGGACCACACAGCCCTCCATGTGCTCGCCAGAGGTAGCCTGACTGCCATTAGGTACCAAGATGAGATCCTCAGACCCCTTGTGAGACCATATTTTGGTGCAGTTGGCCCTGGGTTCCTCCTAATGCAAGACAATGCTAGACCTCATGTGGCTGGAGTGTGTCAGCAGTTTCTGCAAGACGAAGGCATTGATGCTATGGACTGTCCCGCCCGTTCCCCAGATCTGAATCCAATTGATCACATTTGGGACACCATGTCTCGCTCTATCCACCAACGTCACGTTGCACCACAGACTGTCCAGGAGTTGGTAGATGCTTTAGTCCAGGTCTGGGAGGAGATCCTTCAGAAGACCATCCGCCACCTCATCAGGAGCATGCACGGGTGTTGAAGGGAGGTCATACAGGCACGTAGAGGCTACACACACTACTGAGCCTCATTTTGACTTGTTTTAAGGACATTACATCAAAGTTGGATCAGCCTATAGTGTGTTTTTCCACTTTAATTTTGAGTGTGACTCCAAATCCAAATTTGATTTCCATTTTTTCATTTTTGTCAGCACATTCAACTATGTAAAGAACAAAGTATTTCAGAAGAATATTTAATTCATTCATATCTAGGTTGTTTTATTTTTGTGTTCCCTTTATTTTTTTGAGCAGTGTACTATTGAAAGTCTTGATATGTCAATGAGTTAACAAAGTCATATTGAGTTTTTAAACAACAAGAATATTACATGGCTGGATATTTCATTATGCAAGGTTGACAAAGGTCAATAGGGCTGAACATTTCATTATCAACATTTATTTCAATTTATTTAATTGCGAATATGGCATTTCACATTATGCATTGTATGGAGGAATAATGTTCATCACCGAGTTTCACTATGTATTGCTGACATGGAGGAATGGTGTTCCTCACTGAGTTTCACTATGCATTGCAGATATGGAGGAATAGTGTTCATCACGAGTTTCACTATGTATTGCTGACATGGAGGAATGGTGTTCCTCACTGAGTTTCACTATGCATTGCAGATATGGAGGAATGGTGTTCATCACCAAGTTTCATTATGCATTGCAAATATAGTGAAATGGTGTTCATCACAGGGTTTCACTATGCAATGTAGATATGGCGGAATGGTGTTCATCACAGAGTTTCACTATGCAATGTAGATATGGGGGAATGGTGTTCATCACCGAGTTTCTCTATGCAATGTAGATATGGAGGAATGGTGTTCATCACAGGGTTTCTCTATGCATTCTAGATATGGAGGAATGGTGTCCATCACATAGTTTCACTATGCAATGTAGATATGGCGGAATGGTGTTCATCACAGAGTTTCACTATGCAATGTAGCTATGGGGGAATGGTGTTCATCACAGGGTTTCTCTATGCATTGTAGATATGGAGGAATGGTGTCCATCACATAGTTTCACTATTAGTGATGTCGCGAACCCGAAATTTTCGGTTCGCGAATGGCGAACGCGAACTTCCGCAAATGTTCGCGAACCGGCGAACCGCCCGAAACGCCATTGACTTCAATGGGGAGGCGAATTTTAAAACACACAGGGACTCTTCTGGCCACAATAGGGATGGAAAAGTTGTTTCAAGGGGACTA